CAATCTCCAAGTGCTTTAAGGGTTTAATGCGATCCTTTTGCTGCTGTTTGAAACCGTTCTTCTGTTGGGATTTATTTGTTCTAGTAGTCAAAAGTGTGCCGATGTGCACAGTGGTTAGAGCGTTGGCCCTCACACTGAAGGATCCTGAGTTTCATTCCCAGTCAAGGGCACGTACCTCGGTTGCAGGTTCGATCCCTGGCAGTTGGGGCCCATGTGGGAGGCAACCAATTGATGTGACACTCTTACATCTATGTTTCTCTCCTTCTCTCTGTTTCTCTCTTCCTTCCTCTCTCTAAAAATCAATTTTTTTAAAAACTGAACTGGATGCAAACTCCGAGGCAGAGCAGCAGCTCTTGGGGACAGGAACTTTAGCAGATCACAAACCAGCCCTGTTTCGTGTGGCTCCCTGAGCGCACAGTATATGTGGGTCACGGGATCGTCAAGGGCTTCAGAGGACAGCCCGGATCCCGGCTCGTGGCCACAGCTGAGCAGGCAGAAAGGCAGAACCTCAGAAAACTCCACAAGTGGGACAGGAGAGGCTGCCTGAGCCAGTCACTGCATGCCATCGGGAGCCCCGGTGCCCAGCTGTGACCCTGCCCTTCTAACGTCCCCCATGTGCTCTCAAGGATTCGATGGGTACACTTCGGTATAAAGAACGAAGAGGTCTGTACCTTGTGTGGGTGCTGAAAGGAGACTTGGAAGCGCAGTACCCGCAGCACAAGGAGCTCGCACTGCGCAATGCTGTCCCGGATCACCCAGAATCCGGAGTCCAGCTCCAAGGGCTCGCTGCCCGGGTGGAAGTACCTGTGGAGAAACAGCAATGCTTACAGCAGCCAGGGAAGTGGCCCTGAGCAGCCCCTGAAGTCACGTGATGTCCAGATCTAAACTCCAATATCCAACTGCTTGATTAACATAGTGTCATACTTGGTTCTGCAGTATGATTAACATAGTGTCATTCGCCCTAGCCAGTTTGGCTCGGTGGATAGAGCGTGGGCCTGCGGACTGAAGAGTCTCAGGTTCGATTCTGGTCAAGGGCACATGCCCGGGTTGCAGGCTCGATCCCCAGTAGGGGGCGTGCAGGAGGCAGCCAACCAATGATTCTCTCTCATCACTGAAGTTTCTATCTCTCTCTCCCTCTTCCTTCTGCTCTGAAATCAATAAAAATATATTTTAAAAAAATATATTTTAAAAAATAAATAAAATTTATTAAAAAAAGAAACAGAAGTGTCATTCTACTCCTGTCTTGTTTTTCGTTGTTGTCGTTTGTTGTTGTTTTAATCTTCACCCGAGAATAGTTTTCCATTGATTTTTAGAGAGAATGGAAGAGAGAGGGAAAGACAGAGAGAAACATCGATGTGAGAGTTGCACATCGATTTGTTGCCTCCTGCATGTGCCCCAACCAGGGCCCAGGCCGGGGAGGAGCCTGCAACTGAGGTATGTGCCCTTGACCGGAATCGAACCCAGGACCATTGGGTCTGCTTTATCCATTGAGCCAAACTAGCTAGGACTAATTCTGTTTTTATAAATTGTTTTTCATATACATGTCTAGTGTACAGGATAAAAACAGTAACCAATGGAAGAGAGAAGCCAACTTCTACTTTTAGTCCTGATGGGCTGTCCCATATCGCCCAGCAAGATGTCAAGTATAAAGGTGAGCCCTAGCTGGTTTGGCTCAGTGGATAGAGTGTTGGCCTGTGGACTGAAGGGTCCTGGGTTCGATTCCAGTCAAGGGCACATGACTGGGTTGCAGGCTCAATCCCCTGTAGGGGGTATGCAGGAGGCAGCCGATCAATGATTCTCTCTCATCATTGATGTTTCTCTCTCCCTCTCCCTTCTTCTCTGAAATCAATAAAAAAATATTTTTTAAAAAAGTATAAAGGCAGGCTCTCTGGCCCTAGCCGGTTTGGCTCAGTGGATAGAGCGTTGGCCTGCGGACTGCAGGGTTCCAGGTTCGATTCTAGTCACGGGCACATACCTCAGCTGCAGGCTTGATCCCCGGTCCTGGTTGGGGAACCTGTGGGAGGCAACCAATCAATGTGTCTCTGTCACATCGATGTTTCTCTCTCTCTCTCTCTCTCTCTTCTCCCCCTTCCCTTCCACTCTCTAAAAAAAACTAAAAACCTCTCTGCTGATGACTCATCCTTCCTAGCTCCTCACTCATTTTCCAGTTCCCACAGAACCCCACCTGGGCCCCATGTCCAATTAGCGATCAATACAATTTCCCCTCTTGCCAGTGCTCCCTGCTGGCGGCCTGGCAATTATGGGTGGACTCCTGCCGCCCTCCCTCACTGCCCTCTCCTGTTTTCCTCTTAGTCTTTTGAGGTACACTGTGAACCTGCCGTGCTTTTAGTAGGTGGGGAGTGCTTTTTTCTCTAACCTGTTTATTAAAAGAGAAACAGCACAGAACAGTTTTCTTCCCTAATGATTAGAGTTCCTGGGCCTGCGATGAGGCCCCGCTAGCCAGTAACTTTCCATAAATCACTTTCTCCTGGGCCCTGAGGGCCTCGATGCAGCCCACCCGCTGGCTGGACCCCACATCCTTCCCCTACAGCAGGGGGTGAGGGACCTTTTTTTTTGCCAAGGGCCATGTGGATATTTATAACATTATTCACAGGCCATACAAAATGATCCACTTAAAAATTAGCTTGCTTTAGCCCTAGCCAGTTTGGTTCAGTGGATAGAGCATTGGCCTGCAGACTAAAGGGTCCTGGGTTCAATTCCGGTCAAGGGCACATGTCGGGGTTGTTGGCTTGATCCCCAGTGCAGGGCATGCAGGAGGCAGCCAATCAATGATTCTCTCTCATCACTGATGTTTCTATCTGTCTCTCCCTCTCCCTTCCTCTCTGAAATCAATAAAAAAAAATACTTTTTTAAAAAATAGCCTGCTTTATTTGGTCAATCATTTAATTAACTCACCCCTAATGCCTTGGCAGGGCAAGACCAAATGATTTTGCAGGCCTTATATGGCCCGTGGGCCGGATGTTCCCCACCCCTGCCCTACGGGAACACAGTTGCTTGGGCCCATAGGTGATGCCCACACCAGGGCCAGAGCCACTCCTTAGCAGCTCTGACTGGTTTCTCTCACCTTCTACACCAGTGGGTCTCAACCTTGGCTGCACATTAGAATCACCTGGGAATCTTTTTTAAAAATCCTGATTTATGGGCCCCGCCCCATAACAAAGAAACAGAATTTCCGGAGGATGAGGGAGCTTAGAGAGATGTGCTGGATAGGAAAGATTGAACTAGTTGGGTTCTGTGGGCCCCACAGGTCAGCCCATCATACAGGGGAGTATATGGACCATGCCTCCCTCGCCTCCCTCACCCTGACACCCGGACTTCTTCATACCAACCCTCTCCCCACTCCATATGGCCTTTGAGGCTTCCCATTATCTAGTCCAACTTCTTTCCCACAGACCCTCTCCAGGCTTCTGACACCAGCTCATTCCCACTTTTTTTTTTAATATATTGACTTCAGAGAGCAAGAGAGAGGGAGAGAGAGCTAGAAACATCAATCATGAGAGAGAATCATTGATTGGCTGCCTCCTGCATGCCCCCCCCGCCCCCACCCCCCCGCAGGGATAGGGCCCACAATATCTGGGCATGTGCCCCAACAGGGAATCGAACTGTGGCCTCCTGGTTCATAAGTCAACGCTCAACCACGGAGCCACGCCGGCCGGGCTCATTGCCACCTTTGCTGCTGGTACTTCCAGCCCTGGTTCAAGGCCACCCAGGTGCTTCCTTCAAAGCTTGACTGCTAGTGCCTGGGAGGCAGGGCACAGTGAGACCCTCCTCTGTCCTCCCCATCGGGTGGACACCAGGAAGTGTCCCCAAAGGCCTGGGCCCGGAAGCTGTCACCTGTTGGACACGTTGATGATGTCACGCGTTCGCAGGGGCTGTTCTTCCACTTTGCCAGCCAAGTAAAGGGCAGACATGGCGACCAAGTAGGGGTCATAGGCGTCCACGTTGATCTCGCAGAAGAACTTATGGTAAATGGCACAGGCGGTGGCGACGGGAATGGACTGCATCCCTAGTTTGACACCTACCGAGAGAAAATAGGCAGGAGATACCTCAACCCAGCGCCCACCCCCTCCTCCAGGGTGAGGGGCGCTGCTGGGTTGCGCCCTAAGGCACAGACCTGCTGGGACAAGACCAAGATCTTGGAGCCCAGCCAGCAGTGACTGGGTCTTTCACTGGAGTCCTCGGCCTGAGGGGCTTAGAGGAGCCTTCCCAGACTCTAATGGCCTAACGGGCCCCTAGGGCTTGTGCTCAAAGCTCCAGTAACTCAGCAGATCCTGCTCTTCTCCCATGCCCCCAGGACACCCCCAGCTTCCGCTCTGCAGACCACACCGGTGAAGCAATGAGACTACAGCTCAGTCAGCTCCTGGCATCGCAGCTTCTGCACATCCTGAAAGGACCACCCCACTGTTGTATGTGTGTTGCCAGCAAGTGCTTAACTAGAGATCAGCACCGCTCCCTCAGCTCCGCTAACCAAACTCCTGCCAAGATGGCAGGAGCGAAAAACGGCCTCTGAGCATCAGACAGGTATCACAGTCCTGAGGTGACCAGTCCTGGGGTTTCTTAACCAACGTCACCCCAACAAATGCAATCAATCAATGAATGTAAACATGAGACTCAAGCCCTGGCCAGTGTGGATCGGTTGGTGGGAGCATCATCCATACACCAGAAGGTGGGGAGTTCAAGTCCCAGTCAGGGCACATCCCCAGGGAGCAGGTTCCATCCTTCCCCAGTCGGGATGTGTGCAGAAGGCAACCAATTGCTGTTTCTCACATTGATGTTTCTTTCTCTATCTATCTATCTATCTATCTATCTATCTATCTATATCTCTATCACTATCTCTTTCTGTCTCTCCCTTCCTTTCTCTATAAAAAAATCAATTTAACCCCCCCCAAAAAAAGATTGTACTTGTCCAGCCAGTGTGGCTCAGTGGTTGAGCATTGACCTATGAACCAGGAAGTCACAGTTCAATTCCCAGTCAGGGCACATGGCCAGGTTGAGAGCTCGATCCCCCGTGTGGTGCATGCAGAAGGCAGCTGATCAATGGTTCACTCTCATCATTGATGTTTCTCTCTCTCCCTCTCTCCCTTTCCCTTCCTCTCTTAAGTCAATAAAATATGTTTGTTTGTTTTTTTTAAAAAAAGGTTTTATTCAGCACTGGTTTCCTAGTCTGCAGGTTAGAAAAGGCAAGCAGAGTGCCCGCCAAAGGCAACTGCAGGCAGAGCAGGAAAAAAGCCACAGCCAGGCCCAGGGAGGAAAACTGACAAGGAAACAGAACTGAAAAAAAAGTCCGGGCCAGTGTGGCTCAGTTGGTTGAGCCCGGGCCGGTGTGGCTCAGTTGGTTGAGCGCCGTCCCGTGCACCAAAAGGCTGCTGGTTCGATTCCCGTCAGGGCACATGCCTGGTTGCGGGCTTGATCCCAGGAAGGGGATGGGCAGGAGGCAGCCGATGGATGCTCGGCTCTCACATCGATGTTTCTCCTTCTCTCTCCCTCTCCCTTCCTCTCTCTAAAAACAAACAGACAAACAGAAACATAACAAGGTGGTTTGCTTTACGGGTTAAAGCTCTCCCTCTACTCCACCCCTAGAACTTCTAAGGCAGTGATGGCGAACCTATGACACGCGTGTCAGAGGTGACATGCGAACTCATTTTTTTGGTTGATTTTTCTTTGTTAAATGGCATTTAAATATATAAAATAAATATCAAAAATATAAATCTTTGTTTTACTATGGTTGCAAATATCAAAAAATTTCTATATGTGACACGGCACCAGAGTTAAGTTAGGGTTTTTCAAAATGCTGACACGCCGAGCTCAAAAGGTTCGCCATCACGGTGCTGTCCTCTCCTCTGTTTTTACTCTTTTTACTTATGCTCTCCCCTCTGTCTGAAGTGCCATGTCCCCTGCATGTCACCAGACTGACTCTTGCTCCTTTAAAAAGACTCAGCTCAGCCCCTACCCTCAATATTGTTTTTGTGATTAATCGCTATGCTTTAATTATGTTCAATTTGTAACAATGAAATTGGGGGTCACCACAACATGAGGAACTCTATTAAAGGGTCGCGGCATTAGCAAGGTTGAGAACCACTGCCCCAGCGCAAGATGCTTAAGTCCACCTGTCAAGCCTCTTTTACATAAGGTAACAATCGCAGGTTCCGGGGCTGAGAATGGGAACATCTCCGCAGGACCAGTATTCAGCTTCGCACAGAAGGCAAAGGCATAGGCAATACGTTTTAATAGAGAAATCCTTCTAAAGTGATACCTAAAGAGCTTTAAGTATTTCAAGATTTAAACTTCAGCCCGGCCAGCATGTGGCTTAGTGGTTGAGTGTCGACCTATGAACCAGGAGGTCACGGTTCGATTCCCAGTCAGGACACATGCCCAGGTTGCGGGCTCGATCCCCAGTGTGGACAGGAGGCAGCTGATCAATGATTCTCTCTTTATTTAAACTTCAGTTACATCAAGAGTTGCTACATGGGACCCCTTATTCCCAGAGATGTCAATACGGTGGTATTGCTGCATCTGACCTTCCACCAAGTCTTGTTTTATGCAGCCAACTCTCAAAGGGCAGCTTGCTCTCCTGGTTTACATGGACCCTCCGAGTAGACGAATAGAGCATTTGAGGGGACACCGCCACCCTTCCTGCTACACTTTGCAACTCTTCATAGAAATATTATGGTTCTGCATCATTGCCACACACTGCCCGCCTTGACTTGAGACTCATCCAACGCCCCTCCCTCAAAGTGCATACAAAGTAACAAACGTAGAAAGTAACCGTCTGCCAGCTGATTAAGATACTTTTGACAGCTGAACAATGTCTCTCCAGGAATCCCATTGTTTCCTTGCCTAACTTGGGATCAGGGGCGCCCAAAACCACGGTGGGCGCCCTGGGTCCCTGGTGTGACAGGACCTCTCTAACAAGGCTGGTCACGAGCCTCTGCAAGCACGTGCTCAAAAGGCGGTGCAACCAAGTGCCATGCAGTGTCCCTGTGCTGCGGGACAGGAGTGGCAAAAGGCACAATGCACTCGACTAGCTGCAGGCACCCCGACTCGGCCACCTTCTAGCTGGGGCCAGTTCCTCTCTTTTGGGCCTGAGAGCAGGGTGGTGAAATGACAATGCCCGCGTCTGCCTTGCAACTCAAAGCCTAGTACCCAGGGCGTGGCGGAAGGCAGAGGCCCGGTTCAG